TGTAGAGTAGTTTTATTTCCAAATGCCACCTTTGGAGAAGTTGTTTCCAATTATAATTTTGTTTCCATGTTCCTCTATAGCCAATAATTCCTACAAATTTGCCAAGGCTTCTTTATATATTCATATGGGAATTATTTCAAGATTTTCAATACCTCTGACTACACTGGACTGAGGAAGTAACATCAAACCTGTGTTCTGATGTAGACTGAAGATTATATTTGTTCAAGATCAAAAGGCTAACAGCAGTGTTGCAAGAAAACTCAAATTACAAGATAATCCTCTTGAAGTCTCTCTACCAAGAAATGCTCTTCTTCTGCTAGAATATTCCCCACATGCCATGTCTGCATTACATTTAGAAAAATATGTCCTGAAGCCTCTAACTCTCATCTTTGCACAATGCTATTTCTGTAGTGATTGCAAGTCATTATTCCTGCAATTATACACATTTTGTGGTAAAACTCAGGAAGTTAATCCAGGTAAAAAATAATGCACCTTCCCCTATTTCAGGCATAGCCCCTGCACCCCTAAAAGCAAAAAATTAATCAGTTGACTAATTGAGGCGAAGGTTAGCTTTCAGTGAAAACATCAGCCTCAATTAGTCAACAGCCCTACAGACTCGAGATGGAGCACTACAAAGTAATACCTTTATGAGCAACATGAGTTCATTCATACTTAAGTCTTTTGGGCACCTACACCTACTGATTAATAGATTCTATTTGTAGTTACTTCCCTGAACTTCATTCTAACTGGTTAAGGAGCAAAAGTGATTTGCAACTTCAACAATCTATTAAAATTGTTCTGTACGTTATATTCTTGATAGCATACCAGAATTTTCTCTGTGTTCAGAGAAAGCATAGATTCACAAGACGATGACCCTCCTATGTCACAATCCGACTCATGGAAGTGCAAAAATGATGAATCTGGGGAAAAAGAGAGAAAATACCTTTAGGAATACCTTACATGTATGTATGTTCTATTATCACATCTCACATCTCCTCATGTTCAGCTTCCCCACTGGGCACTCCACTGGGCAAAATTTTCATGAAGTGGTTTCTGCTCACAGCACTACATCCACACATCCAGGGAAGCAATAGTTTACATGACTGCTTTAATATAGTTAGTTTTCTGTCTACTTGTGCTTCTGTTTTTGGCTAAAAATAAATGAAAAAGAAAAGGTGCTAAAAAAGGGGGTGGAGGTAAAAAAAGGAGGATGCTGGAAGCAAATAACAAAACTTTGGGGTTAGACGTCCTCTTTTAGCATGATTCCATTCTCTGGCCCCAGAAATAATAAATAAAATTATCATTCCAATCCCAGAGAGGAAATAAATGGAATGGACCGTACAGAGGCAGGGAAAGAGCTGCTGTTGGAGATTCAGGAAACATTGATATAAAGACTAAAAAGTAGCCTGAATAGTAAACCGTAATTGACTGACCATATACAAAGGTCCCCACAGGTACGCTAATATGAAGGGCATTACAAAAAGGGTAGTATTGATTCAAACCTATAAAAAGTGAAACTCAGCTTGTTGAGAAAAAGTTTAAGACACCAAATAAACAATAATAAAAATCAACAATCCCCCAGATTGATATACTACAGAAGTCACTACTTCCTCTATATGGCGCTTTAATTGCAGAATTGGTACCTCTAAATCTTCAGGTCCTAAAGCTTCTATTATCTTGAAATATTTCAAGAGTAAACAAGAAAAAGCAGATATACAGTGTTATCTCTTTGAATTCATGCCACAAATACCAAATTTTATCATCTCCCCTAATGTTTGTAAATATAAGTTTGAAGCTTAGTTTGAAAGGTTGGGGGGCAGTGTGCTCTTAGACTTCTTAAGGACTGCAGTTAGTTAATTCCCTATTTCTCACAATCACAGAGCTAAAAGAGAGAAAGAAACAGTCTCCTTACAAAGAGAAGTCAAAATAGCATCTAAAATCATTTCCTGTAAATAGGAACTTGGAGCTATGTTGAGCCATAAATGATAAGCAGTAGAAGTTTTACAACAGCAGTAAGAGTGCTTAAAAGCAGAAGGTCAAAGTATAAAGTCAGAAAGTCCTGTGAGAACAGTGGCTCACTACCCATAGTTTCCAAAAAGATAGCAGGAGGTTTCAACACTGCCCTTTGTTCTTCACGTTGGCCAAACCCTCCTGTGCTATGGCAGCGTTATTAACATGTTAGTTTTTCCGTGTTGGTGCTTGTAAATCAGTGACAGTTAAGAGTTTTGGCTGCAGACTCACAGAGTAATTTTCACTTTAGAAACCAAAACAAACAGGTACAGGTATGGCCTACCTCCACAACAGGGTTCTGCACAAAAGCAAAAATTCAGTGATGGAATTTTTTAATAAGGTGGCAGGGAATAAGAACAGCCTACCTGTTACAAGCTATAGTGCGGAAAGGACTCCTAATATCTTGCAGTTTTGGGGGCAACAAACTGCTTTACTCACAGGGAAGAATGGATCTGCCTTTGTCTGCAAGTCAGATACAATCAAAACTGTACCACACTAACAACTTCATGAAAAACAAGAAACACCAACCACAGAAATTACCCTGGACCTCAAGTACTTGAGACAAAAAGAATCTCAGCTTCTGTGAAAGTTGTACTGAAACAAAAGATCAAGAGCTAAAAGGAATTTTATAACAAGCAATTTATTTAGTCATGCTATTTAAATAGCAAGAAGTGAATTGGTATACAGCTATTTCAAGATAATTACATTGTTTTGTAATTAAGGGCTATCTTATTATCAGTGCATGCAAAGTACCTGAGGTACCTGATGATTTCAGCAGAATTCCTGGTATCAATCCCAGTTACACTGGTCTCTTTAAAAACAACATTCACCATTAAATCAAAATCTAATCTTCCATGTACACCTCTGAAGGAGTATCGTGAGTCAATCGTTCACGTCAAGTCTACTAACAGATGTAATCAAGTGCTTTGCCATTTATTAACTTGTATGGTGTACAGATTTTGATCTCAGCACTGGGTGAAAGTCTTCTTGGCTTTATGCTTAAACTTGAATAAAGTGTAGCAATGGTTATCTGAGATAACTTTCACAATCTGATTTAGTGTTTACACTCTGTGGCTCTCAGCCACTGCAGCCACCCACACCCCCCAAAAAAACAGTGATAAAAACTATATAGTGTGAAGACAAAAGTATGCACACAGAGGGCAGGGGGGGAAGGAAAAAGCACAGATGCAGCAAACACATAACAAGGTATTTCTGCAAAATCTGTAATTCAAGTGGATTACACTAGTTGTATATTAGTTCTTAGGGACCATAGGAACTGTTGATGTGAGCACAGGCTTTATGAAATAAAGAGGGGAAAATCATAAAACTGTGCTGACAGCTAAGAAGTCATGACACATTACTGATAATTCTCCTATATACCTTTTTCTTCATCTGTACTATGTGTACATTGTGATTCAGACTGGCATTTTTGTACGGTCCATTCACACCATCCTCACAATCAATGATCACAAGAGATTAAGCCACATGCTTCTGATGCAAAAGATACTGAACACATAAAAATAGTTTTAACTGTGCCTGTATTACAAGCCATCAATTAACTTGAAAAAGACTAGAAGACCTGCTACCCAAACTTCTCATAAAGAGAAGCACCCAGTTCACCAGCAAAATACGTGTAACTGTGGCTGAAAATAAATCAAGCCACATCCAACTCACAGAACCACAGAATTCTTAGGGTTGGAAGGGACCTCTGGGAATCATTTAGTCCAACTCCCCTGCCAAGACAGGGTCACCTAGAGCAGGTGACACAGGAACAAGTCCAGGTGGGCTTTGAATGTCTCCAGACAGGGAGAACCCATGACCTCTCTGGGCAGCCTGTTCCAGTGCTCTGCCACCCTCAACAAAAAGTTCTTCCTCATGTTGAGGTGGAACTTCTGCTTGTTTTAGTTTATGGCCGTTCCTTCTCGTCCTGCTGCTGGGCACTGCTGAAAAGAGCCTGGCACCATCCTCTTGGCACCTGCCTTTGAGATATTTAAATCCATTAATGAGATCTCCTCTCAGTCTTCTCTTCTCTAGACTAAACAGGCCCAGCTTCCTCAGTGTCTCCTCATAAGAGAGATGCTCCAGGCCCCTAATCATCTCTGTTGGCCTCCACTGGACCCTCTCCTTGTCTTTCTTGTACTAAGAAACTCAGTGAGCACAAGGTGCTGGCATGTCCCCACGCTCCTGAGTGCAGGGATTAAAAAGGAGTCAGAGTCCAGCTGCCAGGCTCGGGAAGTGAGTGGGGCAGCAGGAATCCTCCAGTGTGGTACCACATGCCGTACGGTTTCTCCGTCCAAGGGGTGAGAGCCTCCCCTGTGTCCGGTGCCGCAGCCCCCGCTCCGCGCTGCTCGGGGGTGCCGCTCGCACGGGAGATGCTCCGGGATGAGTCAGCTCAGCGGCACCGGCGCGCACAGCCGAGGGGCCGCCGGAACCCCGCACCGCCCCGGGTCGCCCACCACCACCACCACCACCACCCTACCGCCTCCCGCCGCCAGCGGCCCCGTCTAGCGGCCCCGTCATCGCCGACCCGGCGCTGCGGGCGGTCACCGCGGCTACGCCCGACTCACCGCACTCGGCCGAGTACTGCTCCGCCCACTCCCCCGCGGGGCCGTGGCGCTGGCGGTGCCGCTCCTGCTGGAGCAGGGACAGCGCTGGGTAGCGCTCGGTGAGGGCGAGAGCGGCCCGGACTAGCAGAGCCAGCAGGGCCAGCGACACCCACAGAACCCGTGCCACCCCGCCGGCAGGTGCCATCTTCACAGTGCTCATGCGCGCTGCCACCGCCGGGGACACGGGGCGCCCTCACCGCCGCTCCCGCGGGGCCGCCGCCGCGTTGCCCCCTGGGACATGGAGTTCTCGGCTGGAGGGCCCCGGCCGGCGGCCATGGCGAGAGAACTACAACTCCCGAAATGCAGGGCGGCACGGTCCGGCTCGGCTGCGCCCTCGAACGCGGAAGCGAGGCGGCGGATTGGGAGCCTGAGAGGGCCCGGAGGTGCTGTCGCGCGCCATGGCGGCGCTCGGTGCCTACCGCTGCATCGAGTGCAACGGGGAGGCGGCGGAGCTCTACCGGGACTACCGGCGTGGGGTGCTCCGCATTTCCATCTGCGTGAGTCAAGTCGCGCCCAGGGCGGCGGGAAGGGAAGGGAATGGAAGGGAAGGATGCACGTGGGAAGCTCCGACGCCCGGAGGCAGTGGCACGTGGTGGAGGCCCCGTCTGCAAGCGCGCTGCGGTCCCTTGGGGCGCCCCCTGCTGGCGGGGTTGTGGCCGTTTTCCCTGAATCCGGGTGTCTTACGAGGAAAGGCTGAGAGAGCTGGGCCTGTTCAGCCTTGAGAAAAGATGATTGAGAGGGGACCTCATCAATGTATGTAAGTATCTAAAGGAAGGGTGCCCAGAGGATGGAGCCAGGTGGTCTTCTCAGCGCTCCCAACCAATAGGACAAGAGGCAACGGGCAGAAACTGATGCACAGGATATGAGGAAGAACTTCTTTACTGTGCAGGTGACCAAGCACTGGAACAGATTGTTCAGAGAGGTTGTGGCATCTCCCTCATTGGAGATATTTAGGAACCATCTGGATGCAATCCTATGCCATGTGCTCTAGGATGACCCTGCTGGAGCACAGAGGTTGAACCAGATGACGCACTGTTGTCCCTTCCAACCTGTCCCATTCTGTGATTCTGTAGGTCTTACATCTGTCCTGCTTCCCAGTGTCATTTCCTCCAGTTCCTTAAGGGCACCTGCGTGGTAGCACTGTCCCGACTGTCCTGTGCACTCTTGTACAGGGTGTGCAGTGGGTCTGCCGCTGTGTGTGCTTGGCTTGGCTCTTGCTGAAGGGCGAATCTGAGTGTGGCTACGTGGTTGGACATAGCTCCCATACCATTGGACCTAAATTTCAGGGTCTGACTGATGATTATTCAAAGGGACCTGGTCAGTGGCAAGTTGAGTATGAGTCAGCAATGCCCTGGCAGCCAGGAGGGCCATCTGTGTCCTGAGGAGCATCAGGCAAAGCATCGCCAGCCAGTCAAGGGAGGGGATTGTCCCGCTCTGCTCTGCACTGGTGCGGCCTCACCTTGAATATTGTGTGCAGGTTTGGGCACTGCAATGTAAGAAAGATATAAAGCTGTTTGAGAGCCTCCAAAGGAGGTCAATGAAGATGGTGAAGGATCTGGAGAGGAGACTTCATTGCAGTCTACAGCTTCTTCATGAGGGGAAGCAGAGGGGCAGGCACTGATCTCTGTGGTGGCCAGTGACAGGACTCGAAGGAATAAAGTTGTGTCAGGGGAGGTTTAGGTTGGATATTAGAAAAAGGTTCTTCACCCTTGTGAAGAGGTTGGTTGCGCACTGGAAAGGCTCTCCAGGGAAGTGGTCGCAGCACCAAGCCTGACAGAGTTCAAGAAACATTTGGACAGGACTCTAAGGCACATAGTGTGATTCTTGGGGATGGTCCTGTGCAGTGCTAGGAGTTGGACTTCGATGATTCTTGTGGGTCCTATCCAACTCAGGATGTTCCATGATTCTGTGAATGTACATATGAGGACTTCTGTATTACTTACCCAGCTTTCCAAAATGGCACCAGCATGTTCTAGGCTATTTACTGCTCTCCCTTCCCACTCTGCCTCTCACAGTTCTGTTGTTTTTTTTTTCAGTGTTTTCAAAATGTTAAAATAGTTATTTTCTCTTTTAGTGTCTCCTATGTTTTTTTGGAGATTTTGCAGTGGCAGCAAAAAAACATTTACCTTTTTCAGCAGTGTTTTCAAGTATTTCTAAGTTACTGTTTTCAACTTTTGATAGGGTTTGTGTAGACGTGTTTCTGGTGTGAGTTTTTACTTATTTTTCTACTTTTTTTGGTAGCGTGTAAAAAATTGGATCACTTAGGAAGCTAAGTATGGGGAAAAATGGAATGGAGAGATCTGCAAATACAACTTGACTAAACCTTTGATTTTATCTGTGACTTTGTTTCACAACATCCTGTCTGGTCTCTCTGAAATAGAGGAAACCCGGTGCTTGAACCAGTTGTTGAATATTTTCTAAGGAATTAGTTGTGTATCATTCAAATTTCCTTTATGGTTGTTCCCTCTGGTTTTGAAGTCCTTGGCATGTTGCGACTGCTGATAGAAGATGCATTAATTTACAAAACATGAAGCTATGAACATAAGAGATGACCAAAATGCTTTGTATGAAATCTGTGATGAATTCCTTTACAGCTTTTTAACTTTGAGTCATTCAGACACTTCCTAGATCAAAAGCAGAGATTGTAGATTGACCTCTGTGGACAGTTTACATTTGGGGAAATGTAAACTGGCCTACCTCAGGTTGAAAGAGGTACATGTTAGATCTCAGCTTTTGTTACCAAGAAGCAGCTGTGGAAACAAGGCATGTACAAATCATTGATTATAGTAGAAAGAGCTGATTCACATCTTTCTCTTTTCCCAACCCAGAAGTCACTTTAAATGGTTTGTTGCTGTAGAGTGTAAAGCAGCTGAAAACATAGACAAAAAATCCCTGACTTTTCAAAAACTAGTGAGATCAGTAGTTTTCTTAGGTAAAAGACAAACAAAGTAATAGAGATGGATTTCTGCTGGCTTTAGACATGCACACTACAAGGAAAAATTGATTTTTAATTGCTTTTCTTGTGCTAGGATAATGTATCATGCTTAGTAGTGGATATGATCTGCATCAGATTTTTGGTGGTCAAATCATGGTGAAATTCATCATTGGTACATGATAAAAATGTAAATTGTTTTCTTTGGAGCTATTTCATGTGGAATCTCACACTAGTATTTGAAATCAAGGACAAGTTGGATACAAAAGAACAAGTATAAACCTTGTGCCTGCAGCCATATAATAGGATCATAGAATGTTTTGGGTTGGAAGGGAGCTCAAAGATCATCTAGTTCCAAAGCTCCTGCCAAGGGCAGGGACACCTTCCACTAGACCAGGTTGCTGAGAGCCCCATCCAACCTGGCCTTGAACACTTCCAGGTATGGGGCATCTACAGTTTCTCTGGGAAACCTGTGCCAGTACCTTACCACCCTCACAGTAAGGAATTTCTTCCTAATATCTCATCTAACTCTACCCTCTTTCAGTTTAAAGCCATTCTCGCTTTTCCTATCATTACATGTCCCTGTGAAAAGTCCCTCTCCACATTTCTTGTAGGTCCTCTTTAGCTACTGGAAAGCTGCTTATAGGGTCTTCCTGGAGCCTTCTCTTCGCCAGACTGAACAACCCCAACTTTCTCAGCCTCCCTTCATAGGAGAGGTGCTCCAGCCCTCTCATCGCCTTTGTGGCCCTCCTCTGGAGTGATTTAGCACATCCTGTAAACCCAGGTCATCAGTTATGCTTATTAATTTGGCAATGATAATCTCTAAGGCAAACTGGGAGCCAGTAGATGGCACTCATTCCTCTTAGCGTTCAACCATTTGAGGACCAAAGATCTTGGTCTTCTGGAGCTGTGGCATCCCACGTAGAGTCAAAGACTTAAGTCTCATTTGCTATATTCATCGCAGCTGCCAAACTCATACAAAAAGAGTAACAAACAGAGGAAAAGAAAGCAAAGAATCACACATTCCTAGCAACTTGGAATCCTGTCCACCTTTCTTCATGCCAGTCCAGATATGTAACATTTTTCACTTACTCCTACCAGTCTGTTTCCTCTGGCTATGTTGTGGGTTATCATAGTCAGTTCCAGTCCTAGTTACTCGTATGTGGTGCTTGTCATATCATCTTTAAGATTTTCTCTCAATTTTTGGCATCCAGGAAGTGCTGAAAGTAGGAGCTCATGAGGAACAGGCAATACGAAACCCTTGAGTAAGAAACATGTTACCTCATGGTTTATAAAGTGGAGATGAGAATGTTAGAGGATTGCCAAGATCAAAAGATTCCTTTAAGTGAGCAGATCTGAATTCAGTTTTATCTGTGCATTGCAGGAAAGCACTACTGTTTGTCTCCAGCTACCAAGACCTCATGGTTTGTAATACAGCAATTCTTGTTTTACTCCTTTTAATCTGTAAGGATAGTTTTGTCACTGTGCTAACTCTCTGCAGACATTCTACTCCATCCAGGCAAGACTGTGCTGCTGACAACAAAAGATAGTCAAGTACAGAATGTCATTTGATACCCTTCACAAACTTTCACAAGGAGTGTTATAAGGAGTTTGTCAGTGTTATGAATCTTCCTGATGATGAATCTAACCTGAAAATTATAATAGCTTAGAAGGCTTCACTTCAAAATATATGTAGATCCCACTTATCAGCGTGAAACATCATTATATCAAGTAGGTATAAAACTTAGAGTGGAGGCCTCTAAAAACTTACAAAAAGCTAAAGGTGTTTCAGAAAAATTGGAGGTCTGAGGTGAGATTAGAAGATGTGATCTCTCAGCCTGAGAACAGTTTTCTTCTTGTCTCTGTGGAGTGAGAGCATTGAATACTGCTACTCCATTGTAGCACAAGAAAGAAAAAATGAAAAGTTCATAGAAAGATTGTATAGTGATACTCAAAGTGAGGCCAATGATTTTTTTTTTGTTAAAAAGCATTTGTGTTTAATTCCCATTTTCAAGTAGTACCTGAAAATACTGACACATTATGGGAAAAAAACAACCAACAACCCGATATTTGTTCCATATGGTAAGTAAAATAAAGGGCCTCAGAAAATAAGAAACAAGAAGAACACTGTCAAGATCATCACTGTTTTATACTGACCTACAGACTTGGCCCAGTGCTAGTTTTAAGTTATCCTTGATAAATTAATAGATCTGCATCTGAAAAGATCTTTGCTGTTCTCAGGATGACCCTGTCATTCAGCGCTTTTTGGAACATCATCTCAAGGTTGAAGAAGCTAAATTCTCCCCACTGCATCTTCTGTTTGCCCTACATTTATTTCTAGGATGTGTTTAACCTGATCTGGATGTGATTATCATGTGGAAGATTTAAATTTGAATATCTAAGCAAAATACCACAATTTTGTATTCTGTTACTAATTTGTTGAAGTAAAGAAGGAATTTTTTCCAGAGGCAAATACTAAAAGCTTCCATTAGGGAATATGTGTTTCCAGCTCACAATATTAGAGTACAGTTTTGGAAATTCAGCCTAATGTTGCTTCTGTTTAGTACCTGCAGCATTTGTTATTGCTCTTAATATAATTAAAAGTTTCTTTGAACTCTGTATTGTAATTTTAACGTGGGCAAGCATTAAAGACCTCACAAGTGTTACCATCCACTCTGGGAATAAATTTGCAATGGATACTGAAGAAACTAAAGGAACCTTCTTCTGTAAAACATAGAAGTCCACACAGTACCATGAAGCTTGTGTTGGAAAGGCCATGTCTTTTGTTAAGAGCTCTGCAAGGTCGCTAACTGCTGCAAATTCCTCAAGTTCCATAACGTCTTTTTAAATCTGTTTTGTTTAATCAAAGCCAGTTTCAGCAAACGCCTAGCCCAGACCTCTGGCATTGCACATTCATTCTTGCTCAAGATTCACATTTAGTGGATGAAACTTTTTCTCATCCTATGTATCCTTGGCTGTGGAAGTGCCATTACAAGAGACAGGTGGACTGTTGCTCCTTAAAAAGAACTTAAAGGCACCTAAAAAGAGATAATAAAATTCTGAACAAACTCACGTCCTCGGGAAGGCCTGTTTAATATACTTTTTTTCTCAGCATGAAAACTGGGGAGTGGCAGGAGAGGGTGTAGGGATGTGCAGACATGTTAGGATTGCCTCCAATGAAGGTGACATTTGGCTGTCACTTTTCAGCTCATGGGTCTGGTTTTAGTCCTAATCTGGGAACGTACTGATGTTTACCCTATTCTAAATGAGAAGTGATGCTGAAAGTAAGCCTATATGGTTCTTTCTAGGTAAGGTTTTTGTTAATTATTTTGAGATCCATAAAACTTAATTCATCTGTAAATAATACAGCAAATCTTCACTGAATATATTACAAACCAACCACTAAGAAGAGTTAGAAAAAAGTACTACTCAGATAACATTGCTACTATGGTATTAATGCTGGGGCAGGGGGTGGGAACACATTCTGATAACCTGGAATAAGTTCCGCAAAGTGCAATGAATATAGAAGGAAATTAGCAAACTTCACTTTCTCAGAAATAGAAGGAAAAGAATGCAAACTTTTTTAAAATTTGGTTTTCAATTATATGTATGTTGTTGTATTTAAAAATAAATTGTTAAAATCATTCCAGACCCTAACAAAGGGAAAGAAATTATTCATTGCAATATGTAGAGCTCAGTCAGGATCCCCCTTGTGTTTTGTAATAAGAAAGCCAAATTGCCTGAGTAGTGCACACTTCATTTAGCTTTTCTGCAATTAAAAAATAATTGAAAAGCTCTTTTATTGCAGCAAGGCAGAGAGACTGTAAATGCTTTGAATGCAAAGCATTTATATGGTAAGGTAACAAATCTGTCAAGAGTACAAAGATCATCCTGGAAAATAAAGTATGCTAATTTTACATAACTATTTACAGACCAGCTCTACTGGAAAATGTGTCATGTAGGAAAAAATTATAAAAGAATATTTTTAATTTGTTTTCTGAAATGGAATGCATCTGAAACCGAGCTGTTTCATTTTTCAGCCTATTATGACACTTAATTGCCTCCCTAATAAAGAACCCTCTCCTGAAAGCAGCACAGCTAATTACATTTTACTATTTAAGGGGGCAATTGGGATTAAGGGCACTCTCACAAGAGAATGGCTCTGTGCTAATTTGCCCTGTGAACCTATGTAAATGGACCTATGTTCATGTCGAAGTTATGTAAATGTTATTAAAATTTGCTGTATGTGTAGTCCAGCAAAAAATTGTAGCGTATTTTTGTCAAACTAAAATGAAACTGTTTCACTGATGTTTCTAATGTCCAGAGATTTGCAAAGCTATTCCTGGTGTGGTTTTCCTGGTATTTTTATATCAGGATGGAGCTTGGACTCCAAAAAAGTCATGTTTAGGAACTTTATCCTTCAGTGACAGTAGGTATTTTCTCAAATATTTGTACACTTTATTGTATTGGGCATACATTTGTGAACGCTGTTTGCAAGTTTTCATCTTTGATGAACAAAGAAGAGTTATGCCTTTTGAGTAGTGTTTTATAAAAGGTCATAAACATTAGAATTACATATCAGTAATTTTACTTATGAGTACTTTTTTTGGTTATATGTAATACAACTCAGATGTTAAAATATATATTGCTTTCCCTGAATGTTTTGTATTGCTTTGATCAAAAAGAATCTGATCTACTATGCTATGAAGAACGTGGTTGTACTAGCTTATTTTTTGAGAAGAAACTAAGTAAATTTCTAAACTATGAAAATGGAAGCTTTTTTTTTTTTATTTTGAAACAATGGACAAGCACAGTCAAATATTCCTAAATATTTGGTTAGTCAAACAGTTCCTAAACTAATACCCATTTAAATTTATTAGAATATTGAAATACTTTCAACACTCTTTTTTAGGGGGCCACGGTATCTGTTGGACTTCTGTGTGTCAGTATCAAACTCTTGTAATTTTCCTTAAATTTATGAATTCAGAAGATGTATAATTAGAATTTATGGTGTCAGCTTTAACCTTTCCTCTTCTGCAACATAATCTGAAAATACCTTTTAGTCAAAGTAATGTCTATTTTTTCAAGAAAAAATACCAGTTACTTCCTGTTTCTGATGTCAGTTACATATTTAAGGAAGAAATTGAAAAATGGCTAAAAGCATAGAGAAATCCAATTACTTCTGTTGCTTTAGAACTGGTTATGATAACTGAGGCATTTCTTCAAGAAAGCCCAGAGAAGACTGAAAAAACTCAGATTTGTATAAGAATTGCTTTTTTCACTCATGCTGCCCAGGCCATTGACTACAGCCTGTGCAGAACTGCAATTGGGAATGAGACATGAGCCCCAGTGTTTCAGTTCACTGTAAATTGCCTGACTGAATTCTTAAAAGTAAGTGTGCAAGCAGTTCTCCAGACCTGAGTTGCTCATACCAATATTCTCTGACAGTATTAGTCAGATTATCAGTGTCAATAAAGTTACATTACTTTAACTAGATAAAACTATCTGGTTAAACCTATGTGTACTTAAAACTGCATCAGCCCTTACTTGCATTGATTTTGCTGAAGTCAGGCTCTAGTCACAGGTTTCCTTCCTAGGCATTTAAGGTTAGCGTTAGATGTTTTAGTAGTATAGCCAGAAAAATAACCAAAAAGGCCAGGTCTGGAGAAAAATTCATCCTAGAGGACATGTTAATTCTGTAATATTCTATTGGTATAGTAAACATCATCTTGTCCGATTAGTCTGTGGCACTGCGTACGCAAGTCTTTTGCAGCAGAGGTGGTTTGTAGGTCTCACAAATCCTTGGATGAGCTCATGCTGGCTACGTCACTGGCTGAATATGCACAAAGGACTTTTCCATCTTACAACAGAGACTCAGAAATAAAGTAAGCTGGGAATATAAAATATATTAAGAATAGGGCTCTCATCTAGCTCTAGAAGACAGAAATACGAAATTAAACATGATTTTTATAGCTGCAGAAGATTTCGTATTTGGCTGCCAGAAACTGTGGGGCAGAAGACACCATTTTTTGTGTATTCATTTGTAGTGATCTCCTTACGTATCTGCAGTAGAATTTCTGTATCATCGGTTTTGCCCAGAGGGTTGGTCTGATATATTTTAATGGTCTAAAATTCATGTCAGCTGTCAGTGAAAATTTTGCAGTACCTCTTAATTGCACATTTTTTGATCAGTGTTCGATTGGGATCCTCCAATTGAAAATACCATTCTTTACTCAGAAAGATTTTTGATCCTGGTCAAAAAATGTTCTGTTGTAGAAGAATCTGAGAGCATAATAAATCCAAGGGTATGTCAGATATCCTTCATCTAACCTTTATGACACCCGTTGTGTTGACGAATAATCTTATTTTGCATGGACTTATCCAGTGCTTGTGTTGAAAAATTGGACTTTTCCCATGCTACATCAACCCGGAGATTTGACATATGTAAATTACCACCTATAAAAATATCTGTTCATGATTTCCCAGTAGAAAGAAATGAAGCAGGACACTGCCTTTAATTAAAGGGGCAATTTCTTTTTCATTCTATTAAATCCTGTAGCTGTGGTCTTCTGTTAATTATGTCCTTTCTTCCATCTCACTCACTTTAATTTTAGACCTATCAAACTCTTGGTTAATTGAGTCAGTATTTGAATTCATTATATCTAACTTGTGTACTGTCATACACAGTATTTTCTTTTTTAATCCAAATGAGTTTAATTTTTCCTTGAAGTGGACCGAGAAACACTGATTAGTGGTTGTAACATTCCCTAGACATTCTATTCAATTTATGCATTTGTTTGGATGTTTTTCTTGATATAGATGTTGGACTTTTGAGTCAACTTGCTGATGAAATTTTGCATTCTCAGATTCTACAATAATAATTCTGTTAAATAGCAAGGCAAAGTTAACTTTGGACACTTCTTGGTTTTGGCTGATTTAATTTTATTCCTAGTAGCTGGTACAGTGCTGTGTTTTAGATTCAGTATGAGAATAATGCTGATAACACCCTGATGTGTTAGTTGTTGCTCAGTAGTTACCCCACATCAAGAACTTTTCCGTTTCCTATGCTCTGCCAGCCAGCAGGTGCACAAGAAGCTGGGAGAGAGCATGGCCAGGACAGCTGATCCAAACTGACCAAAGGGACACTCCATACCATAGAATGTCATGCCCAGTATATAAACTAGGGGGAGTTGGCTGGGAGGAACCAATCACTGCTCAGGGACAGGCTGGGCTTTGATCAGTGGGTGGTAAGAAAATGTATTGTGCAGCACTTGTTTCTCTTGGGTCTTATCTCTCTCTCTATTCTTATCTTCCATTTCATTACTATTATTACTGTATTTTACTTTATTTCAATTATTAAACTGGTCCTGTTGCAACCCATGCATTTTACCTTTTTCTGATTCTCATCCTATTGGGGGAAAAGTGAGCTAGCAGCTGTGTGATATTTAGTTGCTGTTTGTACAATAGACATAAGGAATCTATAAAACTGAAAAAACTTTTTTTCCTTTCCTGGGAGTTTATCTGTAGGTGTGTGCTGTCTGATGCTGCATTTTTGACCGTTCAGCATTTCAGAAAGTGGTGTGCATACATATCTCTTCTGGCAGCGCACAGCCATCCACTCATTAAAGTGGAAATAGAGATCATTTCTAGGACTGTTGTACTCTGAGCACAGCAACTAATGCCAAGGCCCAGGGGAGCAGGATTAGCTGAGGACAGATTGGAGGAGACAAGAAGCCAAACTGGAGGATCGGGAGCAGGAGAAAGCTGACCTGCAGGCAAGCACCCTTCTGCAAGTGCACTTGTTTGAGCTGAAGTGGTTCTGCTGCTCCTCATCTCTCTGCTAAAAGTTATTTCTCCCCTCAGGTCTGCTAGGTGAGCCTTTTGTAAGACTGCTATTTAACCTTCCTGCTCACAGTTAGCATATCAGCCTTTTGTTATGCCTTCTCATTTAACTCAAGGAGTGATCAGCCATGCAGGTAGGTTAATAAAGCAGGAGGGGGTTGATGACAAGCAGCTCCCAGTGGTCTGAGTGAAATAACCTCTCCAGCAGGAACAGGAGCAACCAGCAAATGTATTGAAGAAGTAATGGTCTAGTGTCCTACCACTGTTTAGTGGCACCTTCCGACTCTTTGGCTATAGCTGTGTATGAAAACTACATTATCAGTATTCTGAATATATTGGTATTTGTTCAATAATGGGAAATCAGTTGAAACATCCAGACAACAGTATGGAATAACAGTGCAACAACAAAAAACATTTACTGTCTTCTTGAAAGGAAGAAGAAGGTGGGATAGGAGGATAAAGCATCTCTGAAAAGAAGGAAGTGATAGAAGAAAGTAGTTTTCTTTCCAAAAAATTACCAAAAATAACCCAAACGAAATACCCAGTAGATGAGGCATGATAAGTTAACCTTTAACAAGATGCTGGTGCATTTCTTGAGTCTTGGGAAGGTAGTTTTATTTTTTGCATCTGCGGAGCACAAAATGATAACTAAGTCCATGCTTACATAGTTTATTATCAGTGTTAACCTGAAGCCTGTAAAAATCGATAGTGTACCTTTATGTTTTATACGGGAAGTCTGTGTGTCAACTGCAGTATCAAGAGAGGGGAAGCAATTTTTCTGCATGGATTCAAAAGGTATTGAAAATTAAGGAAAGACTAAAAAGAATTGAATAGCTAGTTTGGATTTATGCAGTTGTGCTAAGATTATAGGAACATTTCATAAACTCTTGCTTTCTATTTTTTTCCCTAATTCTTGATTTTTAACTTTCAGAAATCCTGCCAGAAACCTGTGGACAAATATATTGAGTATGATCCTGTTATCATCTTGATTAATGCTGTTTTATGCAAAGCACAAGCATACAGGCACATTCTTTTCAATACAAAGATAAATGTAAGTTACTATGCCCCTACTTTGTGACTTTTTTGGTTAAAAATATATTTAGATTTGGTAAGTTGATTGTAAGTTGTTGTGATTATAAAATTTTAGGAATTGTTCTTCTGCCCTTCCACAGATTTCAGCAAGCTGAACCAGTTATATCATGAATAGAACACATGAAATCTCAAGCTCCAGCTGTTACTAAGACAGTTTCTGTCTTCACAGTAGTGATGTCACAGTACCAGCAAATACAGCAGTCAGTTTACTCACTGAAGAGAAGGAACTGTATAGAACTGTTCATACGGTTCTCTAAACCCCCCAATTTACCTATCACATTAATTGATGTTAAAAGGATGATGTGCTAAATTACATTGTAAGAGAAAGATCTAATTTCAAATTAATTTCCAAATTAAATTTCTGTTGGAAACAATTCTTTCTGAAATGAGCTATAGGAGTAGAACACACCATATTAACAATACTGTAACAATTAAACCTACTGTACTAATTTCTCATGAGTTTCTTCCTGATTAATTAACCATGCTCTCAAAGCTACAGCAAAAGATTCAAATGTTGTTGATGCAGAGTTACATAATCAACTTAGCTGGGCTGGCCAGGCTGTAGTGTACAGGTGTATACTTTCTGACAGAATTGTGTATTTTTACTGTAAGGATTGATTTCCCAGGAGAGGGAAGCTAATCCAGAGCAAACTATCCAAGCATAAGTGTGTGCTGGGTTCATGTTGATGGCTCTTAGCCAGTCCAGTTTAAGCAATGTTGATATATATACTTGCCTCATCTCTCAAGCATAAATCTCACTAAATATATTTTATTAATTCGGTGCTTCTGGAGACTGGTAATGATGTTTACTGTGAGGGTTCTGGAAGAACTATTCTATCTGTGGAAATGTCATCTATTCAAATAAATCGAGTTGAATTTTAAACTAGCTAAGCCTGGGCATGTATGTGCAATTGGCATAACTCACCTCTAATGGAAAAAATAGAATCCATGCACAGAAATTGCATTTATGTCTTTAAATCTCTATGAAATCAGAAATCACCTCACATACACACAATTTATAAGCTGTTTAATGTGGAAACATGCTAACTTTGGGCCCTCACAACATCATTTTTGCAGTCACTTCAGAGGATAATTTTAAGTTTTGTTTGGTTGTATTGCTCCATTTATTTTTGGTGCCTCACCCTTTACAATTAAGAAATATTTTGGTATAACTACGATACCAGTTTCTTCTAATGGAGATTGTCCCAGTGAAAAAGAAAAACAAGGCTATATAAACCAGTTTGCCAAATGGGAGAGTTGCCCTTAAACTGGAATTTTGGATAGTATAATTCTCCTAGCTGTGGCACAATTTTGGTTTTGCATTCGTAGATGAAACAGCTTTCTCAATTTTAGAAAAGTATGGATCAGGCTTTAGAAACCACAGTTATATACATTCTGCTGTATTGAACTATTCCTGCAGTTTTCTACGTTGTAATTCGTCTGTCGTTGTAACTGATGTTAAAAGGATGATGTGCTAAACTAGTGATTCAACAGAAGTAGTTTTGATTATATTCTAAAGAAAAATAATAAATCTATGGAGCTTGTTTGTGTAAAGATGTTGAAATATATTTTAAATACCAATTTCATACTAATGCTTTAATTTATGCTGCTTCAATACTAATGCTTTTATTTGTTCATTTACTAGATTCATGGAAAGCTCTGCATATTTTGTTTGCTCTGTGAAGCTTATATCAGGTGGTTGCAGTTACAGGATTCAAGCCAAAATACAGATCCTGATGACTTAATCAGATATGCCAAAGAATGGGATTTTTATAGAATGTTTGGCATAGCTTCTTTAGGTAAGATTGATGATATGTCACTGTCTACTTTTTAAGCATTGCAAAACTTCATCAGTCTTCAAGCCCATATTGCAAAAATACATACAGAATCAATGTCATGTCAAACCCAGTATGCTTACACCATTACACACATGCTCTCTAATTTGCCTTCATTTAATTAAATGCCTGTTTTGATCCTGATTACAGTTCAGACCGGTATGATTAGCATTAGATATGAAAACACTGAAAAGTGACAATATTCAGAAATCTTTACCTGAATCTACTGACATAGTTTGAAGACCAATGTAGGAGTCAGCCTTATTCCATATTTGATGTGGACTTCAAGGTTTATTATTCATTAAGGTGCCTTACAAAAGTAAGGAAAAAGTTTGGGGTTTTTTTAAACAAATGCACAAAAATACAGACCAGTAAAGAGTAAACACATCTGTGCTCTAAGACTACATTTGAGGGCAGGAGAGGGCTTTTGTTTTATGTTGGTTAATACATTTATTCTCGTACTTTTCAGGTGATAGTGTTTACATCAAACTTGCAGATTAAAACTAGTATTTCTCTTAGACATTCAGAGTTTAATTTAAATGATATATTGTCTAATGTTGCTTAAGTAAGTTTTTATAACATGTCAGTAAAAATGTTGAACTCATTTTTCAGTAGTAACTCATCTATTACAGTTGTTATGAGAGGGTTTTTGACATCCGCATTAATTCCACCATAACACAGGAATATGGTGTCAAAAAAAGTCTAGTAGCTCAATGGTGTTTTCACCTTAGTATTTTTTCTTATGCTGGATGAAAAGGGTTCATTGCTGGTGACCTTTTCAAAGAAGACAAGTATTGATTTTGTTCTTCATTCTCTCTTTCCAACTCCTCTTATTCCCTTTTAGAACAAACTTCATTTTTCATTGGCATTTTTATTACCTTATGGTGGATGACACCTGAAATGCTGAAAAGAAAGTCTGACTTCATTTTACTTCTCAAAGCACTGCTGTTGTCCACCTATGGAAAGCTTTTGCTAATCCCAGCTGTTATTTGGGAACATGACTACACACCTTTGTGCCTTGCATTCATAAAAGTGTTTGTCTTGATATCAAACTCTCAGGCAATTAGAGGTACATTTTTGCTTTTTTTTATTTTTATGTGTATAGAATGTGTGTGAGAGACTGCAGGTTTTACAGAAGTCGTTATTCTTTCTATATTTTTAATCAATATCAGATATGTGACTGATAGATCTAGCTTAAAACTGTTATTTAGACTTTAATAGAAAGTGATTGAAACAAAAAACTTTATTAAAAAAAAAGCACCTCATCTCACTGTCATCCCTTTGTATATGCTGTATTATATCCATTAGATCCATAATTAGAATTTGAGACAAGTCATCATGGATCATTAAAACATAAAATAGAATTCTTGGAGTTTCTGGAAAATCAAAATTTCATGTTAATTTTATGCATGGCTTTGGAATGCAGACTTTTAACAGATCTGTGTGATTTCTTATATATGCAAATGAATATGAATTCTCACATGGTTTCTATGATCTTCTTAAATAGTATGTGATAAATTTGTTCTGTTTTCTTTTGCAGTTACATTGAACTTGAATCGAATACTCCCTTGGTTTGCCATCTTCTTTGGATTAATTTTGGAAAACGGTGTGGTCTGCTTGTTCCAGAAAATGGGATGGGATGTTTGAAATGGTCAGCCCAGATATGAAGAAATACCAACAACACCATGATTATAATTTTCTAAGAATGATCTCTACCAGCAGGCTCTAAAGACACTATTTTCATAATGATAAAAAAGGTGATAGATAACAAAAACTTGGGTGAGTTTAGACAGTTTCAGGATGAAGTAAAATGAGAAACTTCAGAAGTTTGGCTCTTTACTGTGATGAGCCATAAAACTTCAGCCTTAGCTTGTTTATTTTCTCATTAAAAACAAACAAATGAACAAAAATGTTTAGGCCTAAATTAGTGAAGAAACAAAGTTTTGCACCTTTTTCATCAGCAAGCAAAGAAAGGGGTAGATAGCCCTCAAAGGAGCTGGCAGAATCAGTTTCCACAGGACAGTAATTAGGACACAAACCCACTTCTTTTGTGCAAACCAGTTTCCATTACATTCCATCGAATGTTTAATTCTCCTGCTTCAGTTCTGGAAGGCTGCACTATCCACAGATGTTACTTCCATTCTTTATTTTCGTCAGATACTGTGTCCGGTCTCTGTTTTGCAAAATGAATCAAAAACATTTTGCAACAAGCTAATTCCCGACAGGTTTAGAGTAAGTCTAGATTATGACCATAGAAGACATCAAACATGTTTGTCTGATGCAACTGCCCATGCTATATAAGTTATTTGGTCAGAAAAGCAAATGGTTGCTGATTCTGTTTTATTAGGTCAGAGGCTGACAGCACTTGTGTCATTTGTGTTACACTTTACAGCTTCCTGGGCATGTAAGAGAAGGCAAAAACCCCCAAATTGCAACCTTTTAAAGTATTTGAGACTCTTGATTGGTAATAAATTAAACTAATTTCCCAAAGTTGAGTCTGTTTTGTCCATGAAGTAACTGGTGAGTGATCTCTCCCTGTCCTTATCTCGACTCATGAGCCTTTCCTTACGTTTTTTCTTCCTGCGCAGCTGAGGAGGGGAGTGATAGAGTGGCTTTAGTGGTATCCAGACAGGGTCAACCCACCACAACTCTGTATGTCTCTTCAGAAAATGTACATCAGTTCTACTGCCAGTCCTGTTTTTCTAATGATGTAACAACAGTGCTTTGGTTTGTTCTTCTTAGGTCAGATATTTATATGTTTTTGTTTTCATCATATGTGTCATGGTTATACACAAAAGGGGGTTTTTTTTAGATATTTGCTCTGGCACTGGTTTCAGTCTAACGTTTGAGTGGATCCTATTTAAGTGTGAGTAATGCAAGTTACTACATGTAAATGTTACCTTGTCAGCAGCAAAATTATAAATACAATGTATATAAATTTTACTTGGAGACAGTGTTCTTAAATTAAAGTTTATTTTGAATTTAAAAGAATTGATTTCAGGACATTTTCTGAGTTTTATTCAGAAGACCTAGAAAGGACATGAACACACTCTGAAAGAAGAAATGTTTATCTGTTGTGTCACACAGGCTGATAACATAACAACTATGCTGTTAGGAGCCACCACTGTCCTTTTGCAACTTCGAGGCGGGAGAAGACAATTAAGAGCTACAGAGCTATGGAACAAAAGCAGGTGTGGTACAGGTTCTCAGTCTTCAGAGGCATCGTTAGTAATGTAGGACATTCAGGATTGTTTGGTGTTAGAGCTACTCATTTACCAGAACAAACATGGCAAATACACTAATATTTCATAACTCTAGGGGGAGCTTAAGGACACCCTCTGTGTGTGGGGGCAGGTGTGTGTGCACTTCTTATGCTTTTGGAAAAGTGTTCCATATGGTCCTTCCAGGAGAACCAAGACTATTTTAAGGTCCTGCCTGTTTAAAACACAGTCATATCTCTCTCGCTTTTATTCTTTTTTGTCTTATGGGCTCGTCTCTTTTCCATAAACTTTTTGTAATGAAACAGTCATCCGTGCTGGAAGATGTATGACAAATTGCCTGCCCTTTCTATATGTCTTCAGTTGCTTCATTAACTAATGGAAAAGGATTTACTTCAGATAAAAATACAAACATACTGCAAATGAACCCATGTAAATTCTTTGAGTTTTGCTTGGAATCGAACAGGATATCACGGCCTATGAAGCAAATTCCAGAACTCTGTTATATGAAATGCACAGAAGAACCAGTGATGTTACTGAGACTTGGGTTGAGCAATGGTTTAGTGATTGTGCATTGGGAGCTGGGAACTTCATCTGGGTCCATAGGTCATGTAACAAGCATTTAGAAATTATTCTTTGCAAATCTGAGAATTACAGTGAAAGCTGGGAAGCATTAAAAGAGAAGGCAGGAGTCTGGCAGACTTCTACAAAATTAAAATGGCTATAAAACTAAGGAGATAGAATCTGTAGAAAAATATGTAAGAAAAGATGCAGTATAGACGCGTGTGAGTGTATCATTAAGCAAATATCTGAACATCCTATTCCCTGGTTTACAACGGATGAACACGAAGGAAGAATATTATTTATTGCAGACATTTTTGTAATAGTCTAGGTGATGACATGACATGGCAAAGGATGTCTTCCAAGCAGTAAAGTCTATGGCTTTTCCTAGAAAAGATATTAGTAACCTCATTACTTCAATGGTTTGCAGTCCAGCCTTGAAAATGCATTTTTATAAAGCAGAATTACCAGTTATACAGTGATAGGATTAGTCACCATGAATACGAAGCGCTGTGCAACAGCAGAGCTTCTCCCTTCATTTGGCAGCAGTGTGGGCTGCATTAGGCTTTGCTGGTGCAGGCAAGGGCTACTACCCTTGTGACCTCCTGCAAGTACAGACAAGCAAGTCCTTTCTTCCACAAATCCTATCTCAGGCATATAAGCTGCCATTTGTTAGCCCAGTCTTCGCCGAACTGAAAGCAAAATAGGACATCTGCATGGAAAAACTCTTAGCTGATTTCTCATAAAACAAACAAGCCCTTGTTTTTTAGGGGCTTGCCTGCTTTTGCATTCCATCAGCCCTCCCCAGCGGGGTGGTGTTAAGCACCGCAGTGCCATCTGGAGTTGAAAAGTAAAGCACTATTGCTTTCAAAACTGGAAGGAACGTACAGGGACTCTTTGATTAATTTTTGTTTTGTAAAATCACAAATTTAAAAATGAACATTCATTTTCAGTTTAGAGAAATGTGAGAATGAAATTAGTGATGAAAAACAGGTCACAAAATATTTGTTTTGGTGACTCAGTATCAAGGTCAATTCAATACACGAACCATGAAAGCTATAAAATGCAAATTATTGCAGGACAACATCTCTTTAAGACCTAAACAGTCCCGCAAGCTGGGATTATTCTGAGTAGCCTTGCTGAGCTCTGAGAAAATTCACGTGGCAAAACACAGAATGAATGCATTCCTCCACTGCTAAAAATCAATAGGATTTTTGTTGCCGAATTAATTTGAAACACAGGTTTCTGCATTTACAATTTGCTGAAAGCTGTATATAACAAGATTCCCATTTTTTCTCCTGCCTCTTATAAAGCTGTTTGGACCTTCTTAGTCTTTCCAATAATGCTTACTGTATTACTGAGGTGGCTAGAAGGAAGACCTGAACATTAGGAGCTTTGTAAAATCTTTTTCCTGAATGTGATCTGCTGTCCTACCTTTGTAAAGCTTTTTTGAGCCCTGCATAGACAAATGGCAGGTCTGCAAAGCAGCTAGGAAACGCTGCCAATGATATTTTAATTGCTATTCATAAGGATAATAGATATTATTTGGGTTTTTTTCTCCTGGGTAAAAATGTGATCTAAATTCCCTTACATTGTAGCATAAGAGTGTGAACGCACAGAGTTTGTACCTGTGCTGGCTGCTGCTGCAATAAATCCAGATGACCTCCTCAATTTCTTACAACCTCTAACTGTAATTCTGAGAACATTTTTAGAGAAAAGAACTATTGTCCATAGTTTTTGGACAGAAGTGCGTGCCATAGCTATCTGAGCAGAGGACTGGGGACCTGAATTGAGACCTGAATCCTAATCCTGGCTGTAAGTCCAACAATGGCAGGCGACCTTGAGCAAGTCATGTACGTGGCTCCATAAAAAAATTGCATGTCCACCATCGCAGGATTTGGGGGCGGATTAATTTGTTCATGTCTGCTTAGAGAGATGGAAAGCTTTAAGTCCTTTCAGCTGCAGGTTGTTGGGAGTCAGTCAACACCACGAATGTCAGATATGAAACAAGACATGCCAGGAGCCAGAGAATGTGAATATTAAGGTGACATGTTTAAATCTTTGTTATACTAAGGGAAGCTTTAATTCTGACCCTTGCTGGCACACAGTTCTATAACATACACATCTGAAGACTTTTAGGAGTATATACAACAAATTATTAATCTCTTATCATGAATTTCAAGTTACTGCAGCTGCTGTGTGCCAAAATAAATCTGAAATTAGTTAAAAAACTTGGAGGAGAGGGAGCTGGCACTTTAACTGATCTTAGTTTCAGCTATCTGAAAGAAACATTAAGGTGCCTTATTTGACAGTCTGAGCAGTTGAAGTAGAAAGCGCTGGTAGATCTTGCATAAAATTAATATTACAAACCATTGGTACCTTTAAAGTAAATAAATTCAATAATATTGCACAAACTTAAACAAGAAAACAAAACCTCAGCAACATAGAAGCACTTCTACTCACCTTGCACTCTTTCCTCAGAACTGCTAATTCACTCTGTAAGCATCTGTGGGTGTGACCTTTATAGTGATTCCCTGCCAGGCATGCTGCAGTCTATCTGATGCTCTCATACATGCATCACTCCTAAACTTTGATCCTTTCTTTGGTCTCTCACTTCCAGTAGAAAGCTTTGGTTCTAACTTTCAAAGCCACATATATATCATGTCTTGGCTACAGCAGAGATAGCATCTCTTTCTCTCAATAGGACTACAGGGTTCTTTTGATCACCAGAAATCAAAAGCCAACAGAATTCTATTAATAACTAGGAAGAAAACATTTTCCATTGAGAGCATCCACTGATAATAATGTGCCACATACCAGCACCAGAAAAAATGGCTTGGATTTTGCAGGCTAGGGAATGTATTACATGGACCCTACTCCTAATAAATCTTTCCAACAACGGGAATCTCTCTTTCCCTAAAAGAACATTTTTCTATTTAGTAGTGTGAAAATGGCTGACGGGTTGCAGAGTAAGGAAAGCATAATCCATCTCTTACTCATTTTGTCCTGGGAGAGAGCAAAGTGAAAATAAAATACTGATGGTTCATGAAGAATTTTTTCAGGAATGGTGGACAGATTATTCAAAACCTTTTCTTTAGAGAAGCAAATTAACTTTG